ATTGTATTGTAATGCATCGTTCGATGTCGTAGGAAACATATCGCCTTTATGAGATAGAGTTTTCAAAATCATAGTGGCTATGTTATCATTACCGTAAGGCAAAGGATTTTTAAAATTATGTCGAGATCTCTTTCTTAGTCTCCTTATTTCTTCATCTCTGTCTCGAAGATCTTTTTTGCACGTATCTAATTCCTGTAAAGAATTCTATTGGTTGGTGCATACTTATTGTCGTTATATTATAGGTATGTAAAGATGCCTACCTACTTTTTATTTAAGTTTCTTAGTTAATTAATTATACAATACCTGTGCCAGTGAGGTTATTTCTTCTCGTAATACGTATACACTTCGATCCAGGTAATGACGGCAAAATTGTTGATATTCGACAGCCAGTTGCGCCAGTCTAAATAGTTTCATAACACCTTCATCGAGTATACGAACATCAAACTCGGATTCTATAACGCAATCCAAAATCTGTTGTGCAAAATATCAAATTATTAAAATTAATTTTACGATTATTCCTACAAATAACTACAATTCCTATAAATAAACAAATGGCAACTTATTTTCTGATAGCCAGTCAACAAGTTAATGTCTATTGGCAACAGCCAACGGCAACAGGTAACGAGGTTGGTTGGTACAGCTGAAGTTTAACTTAGTATGAATTAGGTAACTGGGCATTTATTACGTACGATCTACTACACACCTAAAGAAAATATGGATTTTATAATCTAGATACTTACGTCATTCAAATGTTGTTCAATGATAACAAATTTTCTGTCTTTTATCAAACTATCTATATCTATCAGTCCTGTAACAAATCCAATAGTGTTAGGGTCAGTTATTAAAAGGTATATAATTAATAATACAATTATATAATTTGTCATAGCGTTTTAAATAAACCAAAATTCTGCAGAAATAATATAGGTAAGTAAGTAGGTAGGTACTCACTAATTTTGTTCCAGTCTATGTGGATACGCGGTCGATGTGTGTTAAAAGTGAACCCTGATTCTTCAGCCAATTTAGGAAAATGGTGATGAAGTTCGAATGACGTTTTGCATGCCATTTTGAAATAATTTAAATAATATTTTACATCATTACATCAAAGAATAACATTATTCGTAATATTTATTTCAGAGATTGACAATACGATATCAATGTTTGTTTATTTTCGTTACCTAGCAACGCTGTGACAAACATTGCGACCAAAGAGTACCTACTTATAATAAGTAGGTAAGTAGTTAAGTGTGTATTTTTTTTAAGGGGGGAAAATCATCGAATGATTGCTCCCGCTTCGGTGAGGTGGGAGGGAGTGTCCAGACTCTTACTGACTAAAAACCACCCCGTTCCTCAGTGCCGGATTAGCCACGTAGCAAGAGTAGCAAATGCTACGGGCCCCGCGGATTGGGGGGCCCCGCGCTCAAATAGGTATTTCGTAATAACACCACTTCAACAGCAAGACTTATGAAGAAAATGTTTTGTTTACAAAACTACTACCAACCTACATGTAATTTAATTTTTTTTCTTAACGAAATTAACGAAAAAAGACAAATAGTCGGTATTTTGTATGTGTAAGAAAAGGAAAGTGACTATTTGTTCGCTTGGTTGGTGCCATTGGCGGGCGAACCGAGCCCGATTTGAACGAATCAAAAATGAATTAATTAAGGAAAACTATGGGCCAAGGACGTCTTAATCATTTCACAATGTTGAATATAGAGCATGACTTGCTTAAAGAAGTCGATATTGAAAGTGTAATCGCTAAATTTGCCCATAACAAATCCAGAAAAGTTTATTTGTAACAGTTTTGTTTTATGTAGGTAATAATACCCTAAATGACAATGACCAAATTTGTATGGAGCGTGGTGCCTTTTTATTTTTCGCGGCAGTTTATTGGATGTGTAAAAACTGATGCAGAATAACATTACAAACAAAAAAATATATGGGGTCTTATATCAAAAACACAGTCCAAACCGAGTTAAATCAGTTCAAAGATGTGAAAATAGTGCTATATTATTCCTGTTATTTTGTTGATGGTGACCGTACACAACGCATATTTCTTCATTTACTTGTCAGAAATATTTTGTAATAAATGTTTATAAACGATTTCAAGGAATATAGTAAAGCTTATAGTGGACTTCTTTTTAGGGTTCCGTACCTCAAAAGGAAAAAACGGAACCCTTATAGGATCACTTTGTTGTCCGTCTGTCCGTCCGTCCGTCCGTCTGTCAAGACTCTTTTTCTCAGGAACGCGTGGAGGTATGAAGCTTATATCAATTTATATCAATTACTCAGGTCTACTGTCCCTTGAAGCTGTGAAAAAATCAAACTTCTAAGCCAACGCAATCAAAAGATACAGCCGTTTATGCCGCAAATTTTCGACACTTGCAAGGGAATCAAAACCTACAGGGTGCTTCCCGTGAACTCAGAATCTTGAAATTTGGTACGAAGCAACGTCTTATAGCATAGATAAAGGAAAAATTACGAAAACCATAAATTTTTAGTTACATCACATAATATATATTTTTTTAATAATTTTAAACTTACTACCCATTTCCTCATAAACGCGTAGAGGTATTAAATTGAAATTCATACCAAATACTCAGGTCTATAATACCTTTAAGCTGTAACAAAATCAAACTTCTATGTCAACGCAATCAAAAGAAACAGCAATTTAAGCTGCATATTTTGAAACTCGCAAGTACTCGCAAGGGAATCAAAACCTAAAGGGTACTTCCAGTCGACCTAGAATCTTGAAATTTGGCATGAAGCAACGTTTTATAGCACACATAAAGGAAAAATTCCGAAAACCTTAAATTTTTAGTTACATTACAAAATATGTCGTAATGAACGAACTTTGTAAACCTTGCAGGTTTGTACGGAACCCTCGGTGCGCGAGTCCGACTCGCACTTGTTTTTATAAGGCCACGGAATCATAACAGAGTCTTTAACTGGCCACTACACAAGTAAAAAAAAAAACATTTCGATTGCTTGGCTAGCGTGTTCACTTTATACCTATGTATACGGTTTATGGCCTATGACAGATTTTCATGTAAGTTTCAATACCCTCTCAGTCGAAAACCCGCAAAATACTTTACTGAGCCCTATCACGAAATGCTATGTTTGTCAGCTGCGGCGTCGGTAGCGCATTGAGTAGTGGCAATCGTCGAAACACGAAAAAATTTTTTTTCTGTCTACTTCTCCCGACCTACTCCCGATTAGTCACTAATTTAACTACAGTTAATACTCTAATCTAGAGCTAGCATAAGATTCTGTACAAAGATATCGTCATTCAGTCACAAAGTGATGGACTATATTTCGACTGATCACATTATATGAAAAAAAAAATATACGCTCATCTGACGTATATCACTTTACAAAGTCGACGGTTTCCTTTCTACAAAAGATTATGCGAACTATAAAGTAGATGAGTCTCCTACCAGGAGTCAATGGCAAAACAAAATACACTTTATTAGATGTTCGCACGGCTACCACCGCTCAACCCACCACTGGTAACATAGCTGACGCTCATGAAGCTTCATGACACAACTCCTAGAAGCATCCCACAAGTTATCGACTGAGAGAAAATAGGTAATAAAAATTAGTGCCTGGCAATATGAATATATTGTGGTGTGATATGGTATTCCTGCGCCCGACGTACAGTTGCGTGCAATTTAAAGTTGGGAATTGTGACAAAAATATGAATAACTAGCTACTTCCGCGCGGTTTCACACGCTCTGCTCGGCTCCTATTAGTCGTAGCGTAATGTTTTATAGCGTATAGCCATCCTCGATAAATGCACTATCCAACACAAAAAGAATTATTCAAATCAGACTTGTAGTTACGGAGATTATAAGATTAGTTATTCAAACAAACAAACTCTTCCGCTTTATATAATAGTATATAAGATAATGGTATAAGATATAAGATTTGAATAAAAAAAACCAAAGTAAAATGTTTGACTTCAGCTCCTTTCAACGTTCATAACTCAGTCCAGACTGAGATTTCCATACATGAGCCCTATGGGCTCACTTTCATATATGTATATGGGGACAATTTCGTTTGTGATATCATTCCAGACAATATCTTCCATAAATCATCGACTGACGCCAGAAAAAAGAAAGGCACCAAATTTAGTCAATGCCCAAATGAGAACCGATAGCAAACCAAGGGCCCCTAGACAGAATTTGCTACAGGCCCCGCGCTGGCTTAATCCGGCACTGCCGTTCCTCCTCCTGCACGTCGAGCCGTAGCCCCGGTTACCCGTTAGGCGACAAGTTAAGTATGTATAGGGGATTACGACGGAGCTTGTTGAGCATGGCGAATAAACTCCATGATAGCGGACAGACCTCAGTTTCAACCTCCTTGCCTCAGGCACTTCTTTCACTAGATTTGATTTTTACCATTATGTAGGTACTTGAGGTAGGTACCTACTGAACTAGGAGAGAGAATTTTACAGTTAACTATTATAGGTACTTCTTATATACTAGCTTCTGCCAGCGGCTTCGCCTGCGTTCCCGGGGGTAAAAATTAGCCTATGTGTTACTCCAGACCATAATCTACCTATGTTTCAATCCCTTTAGCCTGCGGGTTAATGATTCGACAAACTTAAATTTGCGTTTGTTACAGTAACTGTGTCAAGGGATCGAGCCGCACAAATTTTCGTTTTCGTGATAAAAAGTAGTGTTGTGTGCAGGTTAAAGTATAATCATACCAAGTTTCATCGTAATCAGACCGGTAGTTTTTGCGTGATGCGTGAACATACAGACAGACAAAGATTTTTTAAAACACATTTTTGGGTGCTGTGTCTATTTATTAACACACCCCACTAATTATTTTTTGATTCAGTACATTGTAAATGATAAAACTGTAGAAGTTCTAATTAGCTCTTCTACAGTTTTATTATATGTACTTATGTATATATAACAGATGGAAAACAAGGGACATCCCATTTAGGGTCGTGAGTAGATATGTATAAGGTCGATTTAAAGAAATAAAACAATTTGTAACGTGATCATTAACCACTTTGCTTGCTTAAATTTATTAGTCCAAGATACAGAGCCTGTTTCATCGTAGAGACATTTAAAGCATTATATAATATCTAAGAGGAGCAGTCTCATGGGTAAAGGGGGGTCTGGCGACATACTGCTGATTGTATTTTTTTTTTTGATTTTTTATATGCCGTCGACCGATTTTTAAGCAAATGTAAGGTATAAGAAAAGTGTGCAACGTTCAACTCGATACCCAAAACGTGAACTCAAAATACGCAAGTGCCGATTTGTAGTGTGGACAACCTGAATATTTTGCAACCAGCACACGCTCTGTGCTCGAGTTTATAGCTTTGTACAAATGTAAATGTTTGCGTATAAAAATAATAAATAACATCGCTTTGGCAGAATCGTGTCCATAGAACAGCGAAGCCGAGTCGTGGAGGTTTGTTATCGGAGAAGACGCAAACGAGTTTAGGCCGCAGGTTTCTCCTCGGAGACGGCTGTGGCACCGGATGCCACCGAGCCGCTCTCGTCTGGCGACGCCTGGCACGATAGTGACGGGAACTTCTGGTACAGAGCAGCGCGGTACTTCGGGTGGCTGTAACATTCATATACCAATTTTAAGTTGCATTACCTATTTAGTTATTGTAGACAAAATGATATAATGTTGTGTTAATTGAGCAAGAAAATAGAGACCTGATGCCGTATACGATAGGATTGTAGACAGCGTTAGCTTTGGCAAAGAGAGAGCCCCAGATGGTCGCAAGAGGACTGATGGGTGCGCTTTCGAAGACACCTGTGTAGTTAATCACTAGGTAGGGTGTCCACGCCATGAACCACAGAGAAATAGTCATTAGAGCCACCTGTAACAATGTTTAATCATGAAAACAGAATATAAAGGTGTTATAAGAAACATAACTCGAAGAAATACTTAATGTGGCAAACCTTTGCCAATTTGCACTCGGCGCTTGTGTTTGCCGCCTCAGAAGACCTTAGAGAAGCCACGTTCATTTTCTTAGCTTGTTCCCTCATTCCCTTTTCGTGAGCTGCTACAGCCTGAATGAAAGAAAAGTTGAGTTGGTTCCTATCACTACGAAGAAAATATTAGGAAGGTACCTACTAATATAAAATACAGTTGCATAGTACTTGCCTGTACAATGAAGAAATAAGAGTAGATGATGAGGAGGAGAGGCAAGAAATACACGAAGACGGAGTAGATCAGGATATAACTTCGGCTGAACCAATCCTTGGACAAGTAGTCAGTGCCACAAGCAGTCATGTTGCCTTCCGGTACATATCTGCAGTATTAAGATGCAACAAATTACTTAAAATTTGATTCACTATAAAGTACAGTACTCCAGTCATAATTTTTTCGACCAGATCTTACCGGTTCCAGCCAAAGAAAGGCGCGAGGGTCCATGCAAGTGAGAATGCCCAGATGCCGAGGATGCGTAGAAGAGCTCCGTTATTGGTCATTGGTTTGGCGGCTATACCTTTCACGATTACATTGTAGCGGTCGAAAGCAATCATAGTCATGGTCCAAATAGATGCACACCCAAATAGAGACCCAGCACATGCGTATAGTTCACACGCAAGAGGACCTAATGAGATATGAAAATGTGCGATGAGAAAAAAATATTTTATCGTTTACACTTATGTTTGGAAAAAAAAGAGTCCAAATGCTCTAGCTTTACTTACCCCATACCCACGTTTCGTTATAACAATTAACCACCATAGCCGGAGACATACAGCACATCATAAGGAAGTCGGAGAAAGCAAGATTCACCACAAGTAAGTTTGATGGAGTTTTAAGACTCTATAAACAGAAACATTCAAATGGTCACTGATTTTTCTCACAATAACTAACTAAAAAAATGTTTAGTTAATTATTTACCTTTGTTGACATAAATATGTAGATGACCATTCCGTTGCCAGTAATAGAGATAAAACCAAGAACGCCGATTGTGAATCCCAAGAGTCCGTGCCATAGCGGGTTCATAGGAGGAAACTGGTACCTATTTATGAAATATTTAGAATACAGTTGAAATATAGTTCATGTTTAGTCAGATTTGTTCATGACAAACAAAAATTCGGACTCACCAGTGAGGATCGACCATATGAAGCATATCTGGTGGCACCTTGTCAACGACGGTTTGGTTGGAGGCACCATACGCCGCTACTTGGCCACCCCATGCTTGCAGAGCTGCTATACCAGGCCCGGGATCCAAAGTCAGCGACATCTTCGTTGTGGTGTTCTTATCCTTGAAATTTTAATACATCGTTAACCCAGATTCACTTGCGTAAAACATGAACAAAAAAAACCACTTGAGCTTACTTAAAATTAAGGAGAGGAAAACTCCGAGATGGTTATTACAAAAATACTGAAGAAAATCGTTAAACGAACTACTCCAGTCTTTAGTGTAGTTTAACCAATCCCGTGGTGCGGCGGGGTTGCCGAGGCTGTGGAGGCTACTCGTAGCTCTCCGTTTTGTTAACGTCTTTTATATGTAGACCCTTAGGATTAACATTGACGTCGCGAACAAAATCAATATTCATAATGAGATATACGCATCTAAGAAGGTGAACACATTACCTATACTTAACTTGGTCACAATTTTTTCTACAGGGTTGAACTTGTGCTACCTTAACCTAAGTACCTACATTTTATTTTTTAAGCATATTTTAATTTAACTTTATTGAATTACTGTATACACTTTCATATTCTTAAATATTATAAGAAGACTCTTTTCACGTCTGTAGTACCTATGCCTATACACGCGCCCACTGGCACTAGGTTCACTATTCTAGTGTCGTCAGTGACTTTTGTACGTTAAATAAGATCTGCTGATCTCTTTAAATCGGTTAGAGACGAACCAGAGCTTTATGCAACGTGAAAATAAGAATTCGAGTTCAACCCTGTGTTTCTTATGCCCTACTCGGCTAATATCGTTATGAGGTCGCTAAGAAGTACCTGTCTTTAACGTTAACAGGATTATGCCTACGAGCTGTCGTCGCATTTACATCGTACCTAGTTTGTACCTTTTACTTATCTTTTTACTGCATTTTTACTCAATTAATTTAGATAATTTTTCTAATATTTAAAGTTCGGGGTTGATCAATTCATTAGCCACATAATACATAATATATATGTAATGCCAAGTTTTTTTTTCAGTACGAAATGTACGAAGCCTTTAGACCTTGACATCTATGTGTTTAGAGAAATTAGCTTTAATGTACATATTTCATTACCATCAGTTCATTAACATTAATGTGCAGTAACGGATTTTAGTAACGCGTATTTTTTTCCTTATATTTGATGGGCCGACGTTTAACTACTTTGTTTTAATTTTGTTCCTAATTTTTAAATTTGTATAAAAAATGGAGAGAATTATTTCTCTCTCTTGTTTATTTTCATTAAAAAGAAACTGTTCCGTTGCAAAATTCTGCATAGAAGACGAGGTAGCTTTGGGTACATACACGTAACATTGCATCAAGCCTTTTATCCTTAAAGGGGTAGACAGAGGTGCACATTACGGCACTTAATGCCACTGTACCTACAATGGATACAGATACTAGTTCAATATTTCTGTAAGAGTGGATGCATATTAAACCTCTCTGTAAATAATCTTTGAGGTGCCATAGCCTCATCCTTTATTAAGGCCTACATGGAATTCATTGCTTCATCAATATCATGTCATTCGCAAAATCACAAGCAGTCTGTTGATGTGCACCTCAGCCTACCTTTTCGGGTATTAAAATTAGGTGTTCAATCGGATCATAAAAAAAATTGAATTTAGCGGTTTTACTTCCAGCCCAGCCTACTCTTCTTTGTCCATGGTAGACTAAATTTATTAGCAATGTCAAATTGTCAAAATGTCTGCTGTCAACTGATAAACTGTCATGTTTTGTTAATCAAATGATAACGAAAACGAGACGCTTGTTTTGTTAATTTTTACATAAAAATATGTTCACATGAGCTTATTACCCACTGAATTAAGATAAGTTTTGATTGTACTACAAGTTGGTGTTACTTTAGTTACTGTTAATATTGTAGTTACACAAAAACAGGCATGGATTTAACCGAGGACAACATTGCATTAAGTGAAGATGAAGAAGAAGAAATTACGGCTGATGTAGTGCTAAAAACTCTTCAAAGTGCTTGGCAAAACGAGAGGTTGGCTCCAGAAATACTACCACATCGTAATGATATGGTAGAATGTATGCTGGGACAAATTCAACACATGGAGCGCAACATAAACAAACTTCCCAAAACAGATCTTCGCGCCACAATCCATAAGATGGAATTAAGCAGGATAAAGTTTATAATATGCAATTATCTTAAGACTAGATTAAGTAAAATAGAAAAGTACTGTATACCAATATTAAACGAAGAAAGACAAAGACTTGAATCTGGGACCAACTTTCTAACCCCAATGGAATACAAGTATGCTCAAGAATATCTATTAAATATGGAAAACCATATGAAGACTGTGGTTCTAGATAAAATGCCTGGTAATATGCAAATGTTTGAAACTAACAAAATGGCTGTACATCCGAACATGCAAAGCCATGTGTTTTTGAAAGCTAATGAGACTATAAATGGTGTTGTGCTGGAAGACCTGGCCGGCGAGGATGAAGAGATAGATTTAGAAGGTTTGTAGTCTTTCTTCATTTCATTATCAGTGTGCCTAATAACAGAAAAAAAAAATAGTTGAAACTTTTACTTATCAACCTTTTGAATGTTCTATTTGTTTCAGAGGGATCACAACATATTCTGCAGTACAAACCCATAGCGGACCTTGTTAAAAATGGAAAAGTGCAACTTATTTGAAATAAAAGTAATTTACTTGAAATATTACTTTCTTTTGTTTATCATAAATTCATTATAATGAAGCATTTTGAGAAATAAAACAGTTGAGTTATCCACTGAAAATTTTTCAAGAAAAACTTAATTAGAAATTTAATTTATGAGTAATTTTTATTATATTATTATCATTTAAACTGTCAAACACCAAGCGGTCACCGGTGACCGCAACCTATTGTTCTATAATTGTGTCTACAAAGACGGTACTCGACGAGTTAAGTAGATTGGGTGTACAAATAATGAAACACACATTCAGAAACTTAATCAGTACATCTTTATTAAAGCAGTTTAACCCCTAGTATGCCGGGGGACTTACATATACGCGAGACACAATGTGTTTTCTATTGTGTCTCAAATATGGCATACCAGGGGTTAAGTCAAATACACACACACATGAGGCAAACAGTAAGTACATCAGTAGGTATATATATATATAAATGTTATAATACTAGCTACTCCCCTGCAGTGTCACCCGCTTTGCTGAGCTCCAATTGATTGTAGCATGATGTTTCAAAGCCCATAACCTAAACTAACTAAAAATCGCGAATTACTCACGTGATTATACTGAGAAAAGCTCTACTAGTTTGCGGCGATGTCGCGCAGCCTAATCAGCCGCGACCGCGCACGCTGCTCATGAGGAAGAACCCCTCTGTGGTTCGAAACTAGTAGTGTTTCTCAGTATATTCGCGTGAGTAATCCGCAATTTTTAGTTAACTTAATATGTCTCATAATAGTTATTATAAAAACACAGCCCATAACCTACTTTGATAATGGACAATTTAAAAAGAAATCAATTTGGTGCAGTAATTCTGGAGATTAAAGCATTTAAACAAACAAAGAAACTCTTCAGCTTTATATATGAAGTATATAGATTTAGTTAGTTGGATATCAGGACCACTGAGTATCCTCTTTACATTATAATTATGTACAGCATTATTTTCAGCTGTTTCCTCTATATTTGTACATTATTGTAATAAGTTTACTTTGTATAAACAGTAATCTCAATTAAGGCGCTTTATCACTTGGTATATTTTCAATCAAGGCAAATTCAACAGTCACTCTTATGAGGTACACATTTAACAATATAAGTTATAAGTACTGCTTAATGATAACTTATATTATATTCTATAACATTTGAATCTACTTATGAATAGTGGTTGGTATGATTACTCTGTATAACATCATTGTTTAACTGCTTGGTGGCCAGTAATAAAGACACAATAGAAAATACATTGTGTCTTGCTTGAATATGCATTCCGGCACATGACAGTTGAAATACCTTAATGGTTGGAATGTTGTATTCGTTTTTGTAAATTCGAGTTACGAATAATAGGTATACATTTTTAGCAAATCCTTGACTCATTTAGCTTAGACACGTTTTTGTGACAATATCTCAACATTAAGTACTTGTATATGGATATAGTGATGTAGTAGTGGTTATAATTTATATCAAAACTAAGTACATAGTCAAAATTGTTAAACCTTTTTTAATAAACACCTTTGTCATTGGCAGTCACAGCTCTATCACTGAGGTCATAAGTATATTATATTAATTTACAAGTAACATTAAGTACAACTATTTGTGATAAATATGAAAAGAAATTCTTAGCTTTAAAATTTTCTTATTTCTCTTAGAGACAATTTTCATTTTAAAAGCAAATTTTTCGTATAACAACAATTAACATTAGATACGAAAGTATGACGTATAAAATATAGAGATATTTTAAATATTTAATCATCTGATTTATGTAAATAATTATCAAAGGCACAAATGAAGGAACGGTTTGTAAATATACAAACTAATGGCCAAGCCCTAAGTAAGTGATCATAGCAAAGTCACTGTAAGACATATTTAAAATATTCACTTTTTAGGTATATGTATTTTTGTTTGTCGAATAAATAGGCTGACTTTACTTAAATAACGCTGCCATTATCAAATCACAGTAAGTACACAAATCTCTTACAGGAGCCCAATGCCTTTGCGACCCACTTTGAAATGACAAAGTTATTTGGCGCGTGACTTAAAGACTAAAACAACTTTCTCTTTGGGAGTCACAGTGGGGTAAAAATTAAGTAACACCATTAAGTACTGTTATTGGTTGTTATCGTCTGCGTCGACGTATTTGATGTGCACGGCATGCGCGGCCGCCGCCAGGTCGCGCAGACTCTGTTCCGCAGCAGGACCCAACTGCTGCACCATGCGAGTGAAGTGGCCCTCGGGCTTTTGTAGCAGTTCGTGTGGATGACCGCATTCCACTATCTCACCAGCTTCCATCACCTGAAGTTAACAGGAGTCATACAAATTATTCAAAGTTCAAAGGACTTTCTTTAGATATCTTCGAATTTTTCTGTGTAGGTAGGCCTAAAGTCGCACATTTCTAATCTCTAAGTATATAAAAGTAATGGAGTCTTAGGGAGGTTGCATGTTTAAAACGTTATCTTAACAGTAATTCATATACGTTATGTAAAAGTTTAATCTACCACTAATAGGTTTTGTAATTCAAGTCGTCGAACTTCTTAATAACGATAAGATTACCTAGGCTTATCTCAGACTGTCTAAGAAAATAATAAATAATAACATTTAACTACTGTTCCCATAGAAGTTACGACAATAGACTAACGATATACAAATAACAAAGTTAAGGGTACTCACAACTACTCTGTCGGAATCAGCGACAGTGTGCAGTCGATGTGCCACCGTGATTACAGTGCAATCCGCAAAATGTGTGCGAATTGATTTTTGAATAAGTGCATCCGTACTGCGGAAAGACATAACATCATTAGATAAGAATACAACTGTATTAAATGGAGTATAGGGTCAACATTCTTCAAGCAGGTTTCTTACTTCGGATCGACATTGGCTGTAGCTTCGTCGAGCACGAGTAGCTTGTTACGACCTAGAGCTGCACGCGCCAAGCAGAGCAGCTGTCTCTGACCAGCGCTGAAGTTAGAACCGCCTGACTGAACGGCTGATGTCAAGGACGTTACACTTCGCTTTAATTCCACCTAAAAACATTACAAACATAATACATCATTCGCCGTTATCTGTATCTAATAAACTTGACTGTTACTCGACTTTTGTTTATATATTGAAGTTAAATAGAGCGTGAATATACCTGTTCTAATGCTGTCCAAATATCAGCGTCACTATATTTGTCAAATGGATCCATATTGTACCGCAAACTAGCAGAAAATAGCACTGGTTCTTGTGGAATAATTGAGATCTTTGATCTTAGCTCCTGTGAATAGAATGAAAACATTAAATCAGAGAAATGGAAAAGCCATACCCGGTAAAACCACTTATGGATCAAGTTTTACCTTCAGAGCGATGTCACCAGTATCAACATCATCAATGAAAACATTTCCTTCAATAGGTGCTAAGCGGAACAGAGCTGATATCAGTGAAGATTTGCCGGCTCCGGTACGACCGACTACTCCCACCTAAAACAAACATTATTCAATGGTTAAATTCTCATTCTCTCATGACATCTTGATATCTTCAATACATAACAACCAGATTACTTACTTTCCATCCACTTTCTATAACAATGTTAAGTTTTTTGAGCACTGGATCGGCATCTTTGTCGTATCGTAACGAGAGGTCCTTGAAGACCAGCCTAGCGCGCTGAGGCCAGCCGGTGGGTGGGGCAGGGCCTTCCGTCACCTCACGTGGCAGTGATGTGAACTGCACTACACGCTCCACGCTCGTCATCTGTGAGATCACCTCCGTCGCTTGCTTCACACCATACTGCACCATATTCACCAGGATTAAACCCTGACTAATCGCCAAACCGACGTTTCCCGACTTTGTATTCCCTGTTTACATACAAAATGGTCACAATAGTTCAAACATAAAAAATACCTGACTAATCTGTTATTATTAAGGATGCTAACCGTCATCCAGGAGCAAGAATGTGTAGGCTACGACCACTACATAAGTCGCACAGATAAGACTTAACCAAATAGAGAATGCAGTGTTTGTGACGATTGTTAAGTACCTGGAAAAAAGAGAAGCACAAATAAATATCGATTGTAGAAAAAAGATTCTAGGTCATCCTACGAATAACGTTTGAACCGCTGGTGGAACTTACCAGGCAGCTGTGTGAACGTCTTGCTTGTCGTCAAATTGATCTCGCAACATGTCCTGCGCTTGACAAGCACGCACTGTGTTTAGTCCTGCCATCGTTGCCGAAACATGCGAGAATACTGGACTGCGAGTCGTACCTTCCACCCTAAGGACAGAATATCATGTTAATACTGTAATGAATTAGACAGGGGTAACGAAAGATAAAAATCAAAATATTTTTAAAACAAATAAAAATTATTGGAGTTAAGGGCACAATAATTACTAACCTTTTAATAGCCTGTGCAGTGCTGAGGAAAATCACAGTCCAAATGTACATAAGGATACCACAAACTCCTGTTGTCAGCAACATGTAGGGGTTGACTATCGCTACCATCACTAGAATACCCATCATAACCATGAATATCTGTAAATCAGAATGCCGCAATTAGGTATTTAAGTACAAAATAATGTATTTTCGGCTTATCTTGGGATGAATCGTCAGAAGTAACTTACCTGTATACTGTCCAAATACATCCTGGGTAGGATCTCATCAACCACTCCCATGTCTTTGGAGAATCTGTTAAGAATACGTCCAGAAGGGTTGGTGTCGAAGAAGCGCATGGTCGCCGCCAGAATATTGCTGAACATCTGGTTGTGCAACTTGATGGAACTGCGCATGCATACCCACAGGAACAAAATCGATCTGAAATCAATATTCGATAAGCTAAGTTCATCTTCGAGGAAGAAATTGTAGATTTAATGTTTTATTTATTTACGTCGATGCAAACTGTATAGAACAAAAACCCTATTTACCTTCCAGTTGTAAGTATGATGCAACCCAATATAGCAATCGCCCAAATATAAATATAGTAATCGTGGTTAATCGGTTCGTAGACAGACGTAATGTTCTGCATAGTTAGGACAGTCTTCACCATCGTATCAATAACAGTCATATTGGGCAGTTCTGTGGATGAGGGTATCGTGGTCGGCAGCTCTGTAGTCAAATTGCTAATGGTGTCATTGCTGCCAATTGAAATATTGCCATTTGTCATGTTGTAGAAGAGAGGAGTGGTTGTTTCGTTGTTTAGCAGTCCATGTCTTAGTTCTACGACGTTCATCCTGTAAAAGATATTGATAGATTATTTTATGTAATTTCTTTGCAAATGTGTCACTTCCTTTGTGAATTGTTTTTATTTCGTTATCCGGTTTGGACCGCCTGCATGCTATACCATTTTGTGTGAAATTCGTATTTGTACGTAGTGGAATAAAGTGATTTATTTACCATTGTGTCAGCCAAAGGTCGCTGATGGAGGTAACAACTTGTGCCAAGAGAATACTGAACGTTGTCCATAGGATCAGGCCCCAGCCGGCGCCGGCGCGGAAGTATTGACGGTAGACCGCGCCTGGCACACGACCTATGCAAAACAATTTTAATTAATAATACTTTTTGAATAACTTACTGCGGGAATGTTCGTGTCTATCACTGGCTTGATATTGACATACCTAGTTTTAGGTTAAAAGCTCGTAAAAACGTATATTGATTTGTCATTTTAGAAGACCACCATAATTAGTCACTATAGACATAAATGGTCTAATTAAGACAAATGAATAGAATGTGTAGCGTCATGCTACATTTTAATTGAAGAGTCAAAGGTTAAACGGATATCAGATGCCACATGTGAACAACCGACACAAAATGTTTCGATGTAGTAATCACATCGTTCAATGACGTCATTGGCGTAGTACCGAGCGTGAATTTAGAACCACACCCTTTATTCGAATGTGAATTAGTAAAACGTAGTAAACGCAGCTATGTCCGTAATTGCGAAATAATTACTTCCATCCTTCAACCATGGATGGTGTACGGATACGCCTATTCGGTCCATTATTTATACTTGAATTTTGGCGGTGCAGGTAGGTGAGGTAGGTCTGGTAACTCAGTAGCAAATTGGTAATAATATTTTACAAACGTTATAAACCTACTTGTTTTTCTAAAATCCACTCATCCCCTAATAAGAATCTACGTAGGATCCTGATTAAAACTTTGAGTCTTGTTCTTATGAGTTTAGCGTTCTTTTTGATCTTTATTACGTGAATAGATGTCGCTTCCCTCCGCACCGCTGTCGCATAATAATAGTCATTGATCATCAAGACCACGATGTAAATGAGTTGTAAGACTTGTAAGTAATTCGTAATTGTTATGTAGCTAATGCAACTAGTACTTACGTAATAAAAGTGTAGAAAAAAAACTTAATTAACGAGATAATTATTGAGAACAACACGCCTCAATGACTATGCGATTTATAAATAACATCAGCTACACTGTTAGCAATTTTTTGTTAGATATCGATTAGATACAGCTGTCTTTGTGTCATCCCGTTATCACTGGATAAGGTAAAATTGATAATAGACATCAATTGCTTAGATATTTGTCTTTTTTGAGCGAACTCATCGTCTGTATTGCGTAGAAATCACTTTATCATTATAGATTCTATGATTATAGATATATAAAGCTTATTTATGATTTGATAAAGTCACTCAACACTATTTGGTTAAATGGTAGAGTAGCCAGGGACATATTATGTACATATTATAATGTAGTATTATGTATGTAAGAAGGTAATTAATACATAATTATTAAAAAAACAAAGAGTGAGGAAGATACAAGAGATTGTCATTAATCACAAAAAAGGTTTAGTTGAATCATAAACTCGTTTGTACCATACAAACGAGTTACCTCGGTATCGGTACCCACGTTGGTAATAATTTTAGACTATGGTGGACCGCGTGGACGTATACGTAAGTCCATGAGTATATCTAGAATTAATGAGACAGATGAGTTACCTGTTCCCATCAACTCGGCAGACTCCTCCTGCTCAACCTCATCAGCCACAGCCCCATCTTGTAAGGTGTTAGTACTTGTGTGAGACTGCAACAAGAAATTATTTTCCCAAAATGGTTATCATTGAAGAATAGCTATTAACTAGCGATACAGCAATAACTATCTACATAATAAGCAATAAACTTTGATACATTGATATATGATACAAAATCTAAGTTTAACAATAGACACTTGTTCAATATACTCAATTAGGTACTTATAAATGATTATTTAGATTACACTTAATTTGATAAAATTATTATCATAATCATTCATGAATTTATTTGCAAATATTTTTGCAATTCTAATAACAGTTATAGATATCGACTTGCATAGTTAAATTGTAGGACAAGCAACAACGGAATCAGGTTAATATATTCCAAAATGTCAAAGTCAAATGATAAGAAGGTAAACTTTTAATAAATTGTTGATGATTATGTATCTTAAACACCTTGAGACTATTCCAAAAATGAGTACAAACGTTCAATTAAATAAAATTGTAATATTTTTTTATTATCTGTAAAATTTACAATACCAACTGCATAATTAGTAAGAAGTACCTAAATGATAAATAAATAGGTACATCTTATAAATGCGATAGTTAGCACAAACATACAAACGAACTTTGAGTAACCTCAATCAGGTCAAAACGGTTAAAGGGATCGAGATGAAATTTGGAAACACAGGTAGATTAAGATTTGGAATAACCATAGGCTTCTATTTATCCATCAGGACCGCAGGCGAACCAGCTGGCAGAAGCTAGAGTTTTTATAATAAGTAGGAATAATGAGACATTGGTACTGAATTATTTAGAAACCAAGGCTTATTCACCTGACTGTTCGTGGTGGATCCTCGGTTAGTCTCTAGCCACGACAGGGGCTCATAATGAGTAGTAGAATGCTTACATGCGCAACGTAATCGAATGCTTAGTTAGTTATAAGCCATAAGTAGTATATTTAAGTGTATAAGTATAATTTTGTATGTATGTATACCTGAATGGAAAGAGTTCTTTGTCGCAGATACTGGACTTTCGGGTCTTCTGGCTGTTCTTCTTCCTGGAGCAACTCCGCAAACAGTGGTGATCGCGACACATCATCAAACGATCCAGTAGTCTCTATTTCGCCCTGGGACAAATTAAAATTACATTTAATAATATCTTATTAGTAGGGAAGTAGTGTCGCGTAAAATATCTTTTGATGTCAAAAATAACAATACGAGATCTTTTCATAACTTTAAAATACAGCCGTGTATTTATCTCGAAAAAATATTATGACTATAAAAGACTATAAAAACGAAGCATATAAAATGATTAATGTATTAGAATTTATTCTACCCTACTTCCTTTTGACCTTGCAATGTTACGTTATCACATATTGACATTTTGTAACGGTCAACACTGACGTCTAATGACTGATGACATGAATATAGATTTCGAGTTGAAGCTGTATAGAATTACATGATGTTTGTAGCGGCGCGGCGAATCAGCATGATGAAGCATATTAATTACTCACAGTTTCAATCAAAGCGCTCACGCTATTGAGTACAAAGGTAAAGAGTGATCAATAAATTGAAATTTGAATTAAATAAATACTGTAGTAAGTAAATTTTGCTTGAATTATGGTTTATATTTATTGAAAATTGGTAAATAAATATACTTTGTCCTATAATTGTAATCGAATGACTAATAATTATTAGCCATCCACTCACTCACTTTTCAATAATTATAATTGTAGACAGTACGCCGTAGGTACTACGACTATGCCGTCGACCACGCCGTAGGTCTACAGCTATGCGGCCGACTACGCCGTAGGTACGACTACGGCGTCGGCTACGCTGTAGGTAATACGACTACGCCAAAGATACTACGACTATATACTTATCCATCGGTTTCGCTGTTAGTACTACCGTACTACGACTAATACCTCGGTTTCGCTGTAAGTACTACGACTATACCGTCGGCTACGCCGTACGTACTACGACTATGTCATCGGCTACGCCGTAGGTATTACGACTACGCTGATAAAAAATAAAACAAAAATTCTAAAGCCGAAACAGAAATTACATCATTGTTCTCCAAAAAAGACACCGTTCATTAATCTTCTTTAGAATTTTAGTTAGAACCTATACTTATTTCTTCAGTGAAAAATGTAAACAATATACAAAGTAGATATGTATTAAGTCACCGCTTTGTGTTGAACTTGCATTGTTACTGTAAAAGCATGACTGTTGTCTCAGCCACGTTAAATAAATAGGGCATGGAACAATGACATTTTTTTTAACAAGTAAGTAACCACTTACCAAGTAAGCACAATAGGTGGGTAGTAGAGATGCGCCGAATATTCGTTTGGTATTCGGTATTCGGCATATTCGGCATTTTTGCCACTATTCGTTTTCGGCCGAATTATTCGGTTTTAGTGCCGAATATATTCGGTTTGAGTATTTCTATTTTATTGGCTACATCATACATGGCATGGAATAGAACTGAAAGACAAGCTTCTTATATAAGATTTATTTTGTTCATAAAATTTGCAAAGGAGCATAATAAAAATCTAATACCTAAATGAAAACAATTATTAAACTTGCTATTAAAATGTATTTTAACATATTAAGTCAACATATTTATTTCTTGACCTATAGTAATTAGTAATAGTTAACAATCATTTTAAAACTTAACTCAACATATATTTTTAAGCCGTAGCTCAATATTCATTTCACTATTTATTATTAAACATAACTAATTCTTATATCTTTTTGTATATAAACTTAAATTTTTATAACTCTATATAAACTTTTATTTTTCAAACTGAGATCAACATTTTAAAATTTAAATAAACACACTTACTTGGCAAGTTATTATAAATTAAAATATTAATATTAATCAATAATAGGGACTGTAACAGTAATACCTTAAAAATAATAGAAATCACAAGTAAAATAGAACACAGGCAAAAAGGAACATATTCATAGGTATATCTAATATTTATAATTTATTAAAGGTAAATTATGGTGCAGAAACACCAAGCTCTCTGCCCTCTCCGGTAAGAGTCTATTTCGTTTTTCTTCATACAGGTTCCCTGCTTCCGAAAATAATCGTTCACTGTAAACACTACTACCAGGAGCACTTAGAAACACTCTAGCTAAATTGGCTAAATGTGCATATTTTGACTTATGCTTTGCCCACCAATCAAAAGGGCTCTGGTTTCTTGGTAGTAAACTTTCAGATTCATAATTGTTCAATTCCACGGCAATTGGGCTTTTAGGATCTTCCGAAATGACAGGATTCGTCGAGGCAAGTTCTTCATAACAATTCCAAAATGTCACATGAGATTCCTCTAAAAAATTTGAAACATTTTGTGGAGGTCTTCCTCTGTTTGTAGCTTCATCTTCGCTTGAGCTTTCCGCATCAAGGTCGCTTCTTTGTATCGCTTCTAGAAAAAGCTTTCTTCTCACCAGTTCATAATTTTCTTGGGCAAAAAATCTCGTTCTAAATCGGGGATCCAATAATGTTGAAAGGCAGTAGTATTTGTCTTCTTCCAAATTTTTAAAACGACACTGAACTTCTTCTCGTAGTTTTTGTACCATTTCTGGTATATTTGAACATATTTCTGAAATTTCGGGTTTTGTTAAATATTTGATCAGAGTGTTACTGTGGGGAATCACTTCTGAAATTGTAGAAAATGTAGAACTTGTAATTTTGGTGATTTCTTCAAAAGGTTTTAATAGAATTAAACATTCTTTGAGAATCTGCCACTGTCTTTCAGTACAATTTCGAATGTTAACTGAGCCAGAATTGTCAGAAATATAAAGCGAAATCGCACGTTTTTGTTCAACGACTCTTTCCAACATATAATAGGTGCTGTTCCACCTAGTTGTGACGTCCTGGACAAGCTGATGCTCAGTTAGATGAAGTTCTTTCTGGATATCTTTTAGTTTTTGTTGCGCCGTGCTGGAGTGGTTGAAGTGTGTTACTATTCTTCGAGCGGAGATCAAAGCGTCACTTACGTTTTCAACCTCTAATGCCGCTTTAATGGCCAACTGCAATGTATGTATAAAACACCCCTTGCCTTCAAATGCACTTTCCTTTATGGCTTTTACCATATTAGGACCGTTATCTCTCACGATCACATGGATAAGCGAAGATATGCCCCAAGTTGAAGCTAATTCTTCTAATACAGAACGTATTTGATTACCTGAATGGGACCCAACAAAATGTTTCATTTGCAGAACTCTGTGTTGAAGAATAAAATCCTCATTAAGCCAGTGTGCAGTAAAGCTTAGAAAGCAAATCATGTTGTTCATGCAAGTCCACATATCAGATGTAATCGAAACTGCATTGGCCTTTGAGATTTCATCTTTGATTAACTTTTTAACTCTCTCATAAATTGCCGGAATCACCACTTCACTCATATACTTTCTTCCAGGCAACTTATATTTAGGCTTCAATAAATGCAATAATCTGTCAAAGCCTTTGTTTTCCAGAATCGAAATAGGTTGATTGTCGGTTGCGATCATTTCAGCGATGGCATTATGAATTTCTTTTGCTCGAGAATCATTAATATCCCATTTCGTAACAAAAGCCTCCTCTAAAGTTTGTTGTTTATTGGATTTTACACTCGAAGTTGTAGGTAAAGTGTCAAAGCTATGTTCAGGAGCGCTCACAGAAGTAGACGATGTTTCTGGCAATTGATCTTTATGCTTCAACTTCAAATGATTTGTCATTCCACTCGTTAAAGCAGTGCGCCCTGTTCCACCGCGAGAAATAACAGAACTACACAAAGTGCACTTAACTTTGGTTTTGTCATCTTCCATTTCGTCAAAAAAGTCCCAAGCACGTGATCTTTTACGCCCACTCATATTGCAAACACGAAAAAGTTTATATTTTAATTTATTAACAACTTACTCGTGCAATGTTTTAGAGCAAAGTGACGCGCAATGTGTGCGCGGGTGGCGGGCGGCGAGGTACGACTCGCTCGCAACTGCCAGCGGCGACAAGTGGCGTGCATGTTTGAACCTGTTTATGCGGGAGTGCAGTGAAATGGTAAACCGAATAATTCGGCCGAATATTCGGTTCGGTAAAGATTGAACCGAATAGTATTCGGTATTCGGTTATTCGGTAGAACTACTATTCGGCGCATCTCTAGTGGGTAGGTACACATTGTTTACGTTGATTATTGATACAGCTGGTGTTCAAAATTGATTTTATTGTGCAACAGATAACTTTCAGAATCAAACAATATATTTTTGGTGCCCATTAACTTGTCAACACATGAACTTGCTTAGTATTAACATTCCAGTTTTCTCATTTCTTTTTAGTAGTTATGTAAAGAGACTCAAAACTGTATTATAAATCCCATGTAATATTATTTTTATCATATTTTAAATAGATTACGCAACTCATTTATAACAATGTCAACTTACAACGTGGCATTTGTTTTTACTTATTTAATTTATGCACCTACTTTTACGCTTAAGAAATTAAATATTTGCACAGTAATAGTTCTCAAATAAATACATCAAGATAATATTATATTCAGCAAATAATTGCATTAAACAATAAAGGGTATCAGTTGAATATAAAATACAATATATATATATTTATCTAAGTACATAACTATAAAATGCTATAATAATAAATATATTTATTATCATTTTGACGTTTGTTGATTTTGGAATTTTACATAGATGGCTATTTAAATAAATTCCTAAAAATATAGAGATTCCAAACTCCTTTAACCACAGCACTGCGTGGAAGTTCGTTTTTAATTTTTTTTTTCTACTTCGGCATTGTGTGTGGCATTCCACAATGTATTTTTGTAACAATGTTACTAAATAAAATTACTTTTTCATCTTTTCAAACGCAAATACCTAAGTACCTACCTATGATGAGAAATAATTTTCTTGCTTCAAATAGGTCGGTATGTGGTGGTTAATTATAAAGTCTTAGATTGAGTAATTACATAGGAAAACATAATGATAAAAATAATTTACTTTGTCTTGTTCTTGCACATGTTGTTTATACGGGAAATATATTGCGATGTGGTATTATGTACACAGTGTGATAACGTAGAGCATGTACTACCTATGTACCTAGTATAAGTAAATAGGAAACGAATCCTAGCTATTCTTTCTAACTAGTAATTACCATCTAACTATATACCTCTAATTAGGTACCTAGAAGTTACCTACCACCTAACTAAAAAAGACATATGCACATGTCAAGTGCAGCTATACTGCGGCGGTGCGGCGCCAAGCAAACTATGTTTGGGTTAACACCTAAGTACTCAGACAGAACCGCCAAATATACAGTGAGACAGTTCTACTACTGTCTAAAAAAAAAAAAAAAAAACATACGGGTCGAATTGAGAACCTCCTCCTTTTTTTGAAGTCGGTTGAAAAAGGATGTCAATCAATCTAGTTCCATTCACAGTCGAAATGAATAAACGACCTCAATCCTCGATGTAGGTACTTGTGTGGAGTTTCTGTCAAAAAGTTAAATCAATCCCGAGTTTTTGGAGCAAAATCGGTTGTTATCGGTCATTGGTCGTTAGCGGAAGTACTTATTAGGAATCACTAAACATGTCAATCTGCCAATCAAACAAAAATATACAAATTACAACATCACTGGTACAGGAATTACAGTTTAAATTTGCACCTCACTAGAAATGTCGTTTAAAAAACCTATGGCGATAACGATAACGCACGAATAGGATATGTTATACGTGTATAGCTATACATTTACACAATCATGGTTATACATTGATTTTTGTATAGATAGTTCGACATCTAACCACTACTACATATTTTAGATAGTTATCTCTAAAGCGTGAAGAATAAAATATATCAGATAAGGTAGATTTAGAAATCAGTGTTCTAGAAGTCAAGAGGAATAATACTTACGTTGTGTAAGATGACGACTTTATCAGCAGACTTGAGATGGTGCAGTTGATGTGTGACCAGGATCCTCGTAGAATGCCTCAGTAATCCCATCACACATTCTGATACCAGGTGTTTACCGACGTGCGTGTCCACTGCAGATAGAGGGTCGTCCAGCAGATATATGTCAGCCTGGGCATCAATACATAGTATAAAACAAAGTCGCTTTCGCTGTATGTCCGTATGTATGCTTAGATCTTTAAAACTACGCAACGGATTTTGATGCGATTTCTTTTAATAGATAGAGTGATTCTTAAGGAAGGTTTGTATGTATAATACATGCATATTGCACCCGTGCGAAGCCGGGGCGGGTCGCTAGTAAATAATAAATAAATTAAAGACCTTTTTCAAAATGATCTTCGGGAGTAACCATGCTAAAACCCAGATAAAAAATGAATCTTTGCTGAATGACTACCTCGTTGACCAAGTGGTCACAAGTGCGATTGACGGGCAGGGGGTCTCGGGTTCGGTTTCCGCGTCGGGCAAAGTTTACTGGGTTTTAAAAAAAATTTCAGCTGTAGCACGGAGTCTGGAATTGTGCCCGATGTATGGCAATAGGCTCACCCCCTATTACATGGGACTCATAACATAAATAGTGAAAAGTGGGTGTTACATTGTACAGTGGCATAGTGTGCACCTCTGCCTACCTCGGGGATAAAAGGCGTGATGTTATGTTATGTTACTTAGCTGAGCTGACCGTTTATGGAACTCACATTTGTTTATAAATATACTAGCTCCTGTCAGCGGCTTCACCCGCGTACCCATTGATTAAAAAGTGGCCTATGTGTTATTCCAGACCATAATCTACCCCTGTTCCAAATTTCATTCAGATCCCTTCAGCCGTTTTTTCATGAAAGAGTAACAAAGACACACACACACATACATCCTCACAAACTTTCGCATTTATAATATTAGTAGGATAGGATATAGCTACTTAATTATGCATTGGCCATGATTTTCTATCCATGATTTTAACCACAACTTTTAACAAAAATGAAATAGAGATTTCGCTTTTATTTTGTTTCCAACTTCAATTGTAAAACATTTTATAATTTCCTACATGAAAGAAATGGATGCCATTCATGCGCTACTCGAGTTGTTTACTTTGCACATTTTATTGATTTCCTGTATCTACATTTACCATCCTTCCGTGCGCTTTGACGGCTGAGCTTATCTTTCGGCGTTTATCACAGACTATTATGTAAATAGTAGGTATTATCAGCAATCAATAATTTATATGTATGCGATCACTTTAGCGTCTGTGCAGATCAAAAGCATTTATCGACGCTAAATGACCTTCAGGTCCTTACTTCAATTTCCCTAATGTGTGTACCCCTATGTACCTACTTAGTCATGATATATAGCATGAACATCTATCATCAAATTAATAAAAGTGAGCATGCCAGACAATTACTCACCTGCCAAGTGTCGTTGTCTACCTTTGTATACAGAAATCGAATAGTGTCAGCGATCGAAATACAATGACTCAAATATCTAACTGTACCAAGGTTCTGCTACCACGATAAAGTTATGAGAAATTTTAATACGACCTTTTTAGGCTTACTTTCCCATCGAAATGAGTTTACAGAACGTTCTCTGTTTATATAAGTAATTTTACCACGTATAATATATATATATATATATATATAATATAAATACGGTTTTACACAGATGTGACCACATTTCTTTAACAATAAATGATAATGATTAATTATCTAATAATAACATTATGACCTATAAGCAACGTTTAGTCTAGATTATGGAATTTTCCATAGTTACCTGTCTATAACATGCTCTCGCGAGACCGATGCGCGCGCGCTGCCCTCCACTAAGACTGATGCCTCGTTCTCCAACCAGTGTCGAGTCTCCTGCAGGCAACTGCTCGAAGTCCCGCAACAAAGCGCAGGCACTTACAACCTTTAAAACATGCTCATCATGAATTACTGAGTCAAACATTTAAACACTATCCCAGCGATGGAGGCTTTATTACCTAAATTCAATAAGTTATCGAATTTGACCAAAAGTTATCAGGGTTTTCTAAATATACGCCAAAGTAGGTAAGTATGTTCTAAAGTACTTACGCTATTATCATTTGTATCATTTTACTATCTACACTTCACGTTTTAATATAAACTGCATGCGTTACTACTGTTTTGTCTTCCTACAAGGCCATGTTTAATAAAAATGATAGATTGTGTGTCATTCTTTGATTTATCTATCATGTATATTTAACCGTAATAGTAAGCTTTTGAACCAAAACACTCATGTATTATAGATAATGTCATATTGCCTCACCTTTTTGTAACGTATGCGATCATATGGGAGTCCAAAGAGTATATTTTGACGAACAGTAGCCACGAAGAGCCAGGGTTCCTGACTGGCGTAGGAAACTCGTGCGCCACCCAACGATATTGTGCCCTGCGTTGGAGGCAACTCGCCCAAGATAACTTGTAGAAGGGTCGACTGTATGGAACAAAAATATCTATTAGTTTACATGTAAATAAAGATGATTTACATGCTTGTGCAGAGGTGACGTTAAGTCGAGGTTAATGGTACGTACCTAACTAAGTATATATACGTATATATATGCTACTGACATAAACACCGTAAATAATTACGCTATGAGCAGAGAAGGCTAAATTACCCTCACCCTGTACTTTTATATTGTTTATGATATATTTACAGAAAATATTATCAGACTGGTTTATATTTTACCTTTCCAGATCCCACAAGGCCAGCGATGCCCACAAACTCTCCAGGTTCTGCAGTCAGAGTGATATTCCTCAACGTGTTTACAATGGCTTCTGGTTGCCAGCTTGCGCTCAACCCATTCATTATCAAGCCCGTATGCTTTGGCTTTTCCTTCTCAGTACCATTGCTAATTATTTCCTTCGAATCGATTGATAGCGGCAACTTCGCGGGTGTCAGTTCGTCCAACAACAAGAACTCCTAAACAAAACATAGCCGTTTAAATATAACGTGAAGAGATAAAGGATGGAATGGAACATCCGTGTTTAATGAGTAATAACATTAACGCAAGTGTACTTTTGTGGTTTACCTCAAGGCGTCGCACTGAGACTTTAGTTTCTGCCAGAAATGCGAGGGCCAGTGGGAAGAATATGTTGCAAGCAAGTTGGAGCAGATTAAAATACTGAACGAGCGAGAATGTGATCTCGGCGCGGATGTCCCCGCCCATGACCACAAACGCAACAACAGCAGAGAACAAGATGAAGCGCTCCGTGAACACGCTCAACGCCGTCGAGAATCCTTTGATCATAGATGTGCGCATTATGAAGCTCACTTCCATCCTAGCAACAAAAAAATATTGTTGATATTAATAAGAGATTCTTTATACTTAAGTACTGTCTGTAATTGAAACATGATAATTTATACCTCTATATAGGTTGTTGTCTGTTTTGGCTACTTACTTTCTCAGTTTGTCGACCAACTTCTCAAAAGGTTTCTCCCAGGCATACATTTTGATGACTTGTACACCGTTTACAAGTTCACTCATAACTTTTACCCTTTCATCTGTGCGTTTAGCTATTTTTCCACGTAATACTCCTTGCCGGTTACTTAAGTAGGCTAGAAACAATAAAAATGTGCTCAAGTTAATTCAAACTCTGTTGTTATTGTCATTCTAGGAAATAATTAGGTATCAGGGCCATAACGGTAGAAGTGTATAGTACCTACATTCAATTGTCATACCTATATAGAAACAGATACTCCTCATCCGAGTTTATGCGCAGCCTTTTGTTTGAAGCAGTTATTTATCATTTACACATGATGTGTTTATCTTAGGTCCTCTATTATAAATTATCATGATCACACGTAAGTGCATAAGTGCAGTGCAATTTCCACTCACCTTGAACAAGTACAGTTTGTACGAATATGACGACGAGTGCAGCGAGTGTGGCCCAGCCAACGTGTTGCCATACCAGATAGGAGACCACTGGCACCACGATAGGCATCACCCACAAGTAGTTCAAGAACAGAGCCACCAAATCAAAACGATTGACATCGTTAGACATCAGGTTGATCACCTGTCCTGGCTCCGTTTTATTCAACCCAGTTCTGTCGAGTTTTAATATCTAAAATGTTGATAGAGAGATATTAATTAAAAAGAAAACTTAACCCACGTGTACGAATGGTTATATATGCATTATGTATATATAGAATTCTCAATCTACGCATATTGATACAATTATACTTACTTTTCTATACAATAACGAACAGCTAGCTATTCTCACTCTCATTCCTACTCGTCCTTGACTTAATTGTAAATGGTTAAGCATCAAAGACGTCAGTATACTCAGGAAGTTCATGAGAAAGTTGTAAATGTGTGCATTCCTGTAACTCTCTGGGGTCTTATCTTCAGAAAAATAATTAATGAATAAAGCTAACGTGAATGGAATTAATGGCCTGAAAATAAAATAAAACATAAATAAATAATAGTCAACATGCTTATAGATAATTGTAACTTCTACATAATAATATTAGGTAAGTAGTGGTAATCAGTAGCTACACAGTTATAAACACAAGAAATCACGTGCACGAATCATTATTACTCTACAGTTTCATTGAGACCAAAGAATCGTAGATTGAATTCGACCTTTGCTCACAGCTTGCTCTCGATCCCGTAATGAGCGTGCAATTACTTCAAGACAAGATAAGACTATAGTAACATAATAATTTTCAAGATGCTTCTAATTAAATACGAAGTAAAGAAGATTAGGTACTTACCATAAAAAGATGAAGAGTAATCCTACAACTAGGCCGCACATCAAATATTCAAGCCAAAACGACCGTACGATGGCTTTTGAGAAAGATGGTTTAATGCCTTTTCTCTTGGCATTGTCGAGTTCTTCCTGCCATGCCTGTTCGAGGCGGTCTCCCAGCCGGCCCGAGTGGTCACCGTCTCGGGCTTGCCACAAGTCTTCCACTGTAAGTCCATGTTTAAATCCACGACGAAATAGGCTAAAGCTCCATCTATAACCAAACAAGACGAAATTCAGGTCTATGCCCTTGTATTATACATATATATATATATGTGTGTATGATGTGATCTCATGACCAACCTAAAGTTAATAATGACTTGTGATTCGATTTAAATTCAGAAATTATAAGTGAATAAGAACCTACATGTTTTTAATAGAGGTATATTTTCTTAATAGAGCGAAATTTATAGTAATGAGGTCGTTGCGTTTAAATTAATTCAAGTGCGATATTTAGTGGGTATTCACCTAGTTTGTGGTAGATACCTATTAGTCTCTACCAGATAAATCATTATTACCTATTAACTTAATAAAAAAAATGTTAATCGTAATAAACCAGGATTTCCTTCATTATGTATTACGTAACCATGGCAACGAGACAATAAACATTTTTATGAGTGGCTGATATCACAGTTTACATTCTTATTTTCTTTTGTTATTCTTAACAATAAATGTTCATAGATATGTACCTATTTACTGGATTCTAGCCAAGGGTATTTTAAAATAGTTGTAGTTATACATAATACCATTAGTAAAGGGTACTTTTGTCTATCTAGTATCTAGGTGCTTAATACAGTTACTTTGAACGAAAAATGTACAAGAAACATTACGCCTTTTTACTTACTGTTTATCTTAAACCAGTAAGTTCTTTAGAAGTGTAGTGTATGTAGCCTGTCGATATTTTAATGCATGATTCGGAAATATTTCAATCTACACTTGTTAAGAATCAATTCGTGAGTATTTATCGCGACAAATTGACGAGCGCATCCCATTGGTCTCAGGTCTCGGTGCCACATTGCTATCATTCTGTGTTGTAACAACAAACGTTAATTATCAAACGGGTAGAATTAATAAAGACAAATAAAAGGTTTTATAGTAGTTTGCTCGATTTAGATAGCCTCGGATAGTCAACAAAATGATCTGTTTACGAAACACTCAGTTATTACCGACTTCAAAAAAAGGAGGCGGTAAGAGAATATCAAAATGATATAACTTGCCTAATAGTCACAAAATTGTAAACAGCTTGATATTAGGTATCTATTAAGGTTTAATGAATCATTTTGTTTAGAATTTATGGCGTCGACTTCTAACCTAAGTGGGTTAGGGAGTTCAGTGGGTGGGTAACCTATCAGTAGGTACTAATATTTTCTTTTTTTTGCGGGTTAGATTTTACTTTTTGTTTCTTTTTATTTTTTTTTTAAAGTCGGATTTTTAAACGCAGTTTTTTTAAGTAAATAATAATGCTACAATACGTAGATAATTATGTAAATGTCCTGTATTGTTCCCGAAGAGCTTAGCTGAAGAAGGTGTTATAATAATTAATTTAACACTTAATTGTCTATATTTGAAGACTACATTTTTATAAGCGAGGGCAAGCGCCAGACACAATGCATTAGACGTAGTACTAGTAAGGCACAAATCGACACAATCATATTGAATTCCAATACTAACTGTGGAACACGTTGCTAAGCACGAGAATCAAACCACACAAATCAGTTAACCAACCAAGCTAAAATAAAATTTTAAAATACACGGCTGAATTTTTCTGCCGGTAGTAAAATGAGATGAAAAGAACTAACAAATGGGTTTTTATGCGCAAATCAGTAAAATAACTTGTATGAACGGCTACAAAACTCGTAAATTGGTATTCTGAACTATAAGAACCTAGTTATTACGTAAGCGGTTTTGTTTGTTGGTGAAATAACATCCAATCAATCATCCCAATCTTAGTTCGGAATGCTGGAAGTACTTAGTGTAGGAAATATTTACACGATTGTTCTTGGAAAGTTGGAAACCGTATTTTTTTTATAAAAAAGTAATGGTGCTCCTATTCTTTTATGGGATAGATATGTACGCGTAAATGTAGCGCTTTATAGATAGTGTTTTTTTTAAGGGGGAATATCATCGAATGACTGCTCCCGCCTAGGTGAGGCGGGAGGGAGTGTCAGACTCTTACTGACTAAAAACCACCCCGTTCCTGCATGTCGAGCCGGAGCCCCGGTAACCCGTTAGGTTCTCCGCGACTTATAGATAGTGTATGGTAAGTATTTCTTCCTGAAGTACAATTTGATCCTATTTGTATGGGTAGCCCTATGCAGGTCTACATAATATCTACCCTACACTCTTTAAAAAAATATATTTCTTTTCACGATATGAAGAGAGTAGTGTAGATAACTAGATAGTTAGTTAACAAAAGTGATAAACCAAATGTAAAAAATCGACATAAAATAAAGAATGATTCAAGTTTCGAGAAATGTTCACAATCAGTAAACCAACAGACGAGTGATTCATCTAATATCAGTGTAAATGTAAACTACCTAAGTAACGCCTTTTTGTGTCTGTTTGTACTTGGGATTTAATTTAGACATTTATTTAATATTCTTAAAATAACACGAAATGTTGGCAGTATTGCCATAAGGCTTATGCACTTCTGCTTGAGCACGTCATTGACAATTGGGAATTTCTTTATTATTGTCGGTAAACAAGAACTTCTTTCGTAGATTGAATTTTGAATTGAACTGTGGGAGAGCCATGCTTCGGCACGAATGGGTCGGCTCGACCGGAGTATTACCACGGCCTCACAGAAAACCGACGTGAAACAACGTTTGCGTTGTTTCGTCGTTTGAGTGAGGTTATCGGAGGCCCAATTAGACAATTACCAACCCCATCCCCTTCTTATATCTCCCCAATCCCTGATTCTCCAAGAATACTCAAATTCGTAATCCCCAAAAGGCCAGTAGCGTTCTTGTCAGTACATCTAGTTATGAGTTCTTTTGATCAATAAGTGCCTACTTAAGTAGTTCACACTTCACAGAATTTTCTTCAACAAATATGAACATAGGTGCATAAGCAATAATGTCACAAATACGCTTGTTCGCATTCCAAACAACTTTATTTCCTACAGCCTAGGTAGGTACCTACCTATATTCTATGAAAATTACCGAAATGCAAATACTGAGTAAGTAGAGCAAATAATGGTACCTACCTATGCAACAGTTCAGAATCTCACATTAATCTAATCTAATCTAACTGTGTCAATAGAACAAGATTGTCTGTAAGGACAACGTTGTACTCATCTCTAACATGGAGATTAACGCCGGCAGAAGATGCTTTAATGCTAACTTAGATAACTGCACCAAGATTTTATTAAGTAATTTCAAGTAAGGTTGAAACCATGGACCGATTAGTTATCACTAACCTAACACTACCTCCACAAAGTTCAGAATAAGAGAAGTTCTTACTGTGTTACATTCAACATTTTTCAAGCATGAGTAGACTTAGAAAAAGTTGGGTTACCTTTGGAGCTGTAATCGACATAAAAGTTTTAGTTTAAAATAGGTATAAAAGTAGATAACTCCATAAGTACCTACCCATTCAGAGGTTATTCAACTCACGAGATGAACACATGAAAGTACAACCTATAAAGTTTAACCTTCGATAGATATCTACAAGAACGAGATGCCCAGTGCCAGTCACAGATTCTGTCGACGACCACATACCGGTTTCGCATTTTTTTATTAACATTTTCCTCTGAGACTAGGCAAACGACTGACCCGGCTGTATTTGTCAACAACTGGCAAATAATTACCTACGATTATTATAAAAAGTGTAAGGTACCTATATGGCGGCAAATGGGTAAAATGAACGCGACAGACTTACGGCCATTTTCTATAACCTATATATCTGTACATTTGCTTACTGTGAAACAACTTTGACATAAGCTCCATACAAAATGTGTCAAATATCTATCTCAGTAACCAAATCTACAGATATATATCGGTTATAGAAAATGGCCGTTAATAATGAAAACTTAGGTTAGAGGGGGTTATCTACTGAGTACCACACTAATCGTCGAAGTCATCTGATGATACTCCATTCAAAAAAGGTGGACTTATGCTGAAAATGCTGATTTACTCGAATGCTATTAAATTTAAAATCGCGCTTATCTAAGTATAATTCCGTCATAACAAATTCTTTGTTAAAATACAGAGATGCCACTGAAAATTGAGTAGCCTTTCAGTATTTTTAAAGCCTAACCCCAAACACCCTGTCGCGGAGAACCTAACGGGTAACCGGGGCTCCGGCTCGACGTGCAGGAGAAGGAACGGGGTGGTTTTTAGTCAGTAAGAGTCTGACACTCCCTCCCGCCTCACCCAGGCGGGGGCAGTCATTCGATGATTTTCCCCCCAAAAAAAAAAAAAAAAAAAAAAAACCCCAAACACCCTAATCCCGAGTATTCTCGAACCTCTTTTGCAACTGTCTTTTGTCCTCATATAGAGCAGTCTTTCGTTTCCTTTGTTGTGCGTAGTATTCTGTGCTACAGGTACCTTTTTTTGGTTTCGTTCTGAGGAACTTTTGAAGAGGTAATCAGCTTCTTTCATTCTCAATTTAATCCCAGTATCGACTTTTAATGTTATTATATGTTAAAGCGTTTTAAATGATATTTACATAAAGCAATTAAAAGGTTGTAGTAAATAAATCTTATATAAATTACAAAGTATAGTGTATTAGTAGGTACTATTAATAAATTTTATAATAGCCTAGTAGCAATAGTACTTATTTTGCCAATGAATTCACCTCTAACTAGGCATGACTGTTGAATTAATTACTTGTAACTTTACTTTTTATTACTACCTAAAGCACTAGACCATAATGTACTTATATAGTTTGTCCGCTTTGATTTATGCAACACATGAGCTTGGTGCATTAATTACCAAAATAATTAAAATATTTATAAAAGGATTAAAATATAAGAATCTAAACTAGATGTCTATTTTATCTTATCTTAAGTTTTAAGCTATGCTATGAAAAGTCTCTGACAGACGCAAGTACCTACATGCAAGCTATCTTATATTATGATCGATTTCACGCTATTATGCAATGTTGTGTAACTATTTAACAGTCGGGGAATTTGACATTTTGTTTTAAATAAACAGACTGACAGTTTTATTTACTGAATCCTGTAAGAAACCGGCAAGGCGAGGTGTAAATGGTACGTCAAGGATTCTGTATTCGATACCAATCGTGTATTGTGTCCAAACGAAATTACATTTTTATATTTTACACTTATCATTTACCTAATAAAATAAATAAAATTGGATAATAAGCAATCAGAATATGTATCTATTATCAATGGAATATTATAACAAAAACTTATTATAACGAAAGTTTATTCTATCATTGATTATTGTTTTCGTGTTTTATTTATCTAAATTGAATTGTAGTACCTGTCTGGATTTTTTTAAATATGAAAGTACCTATTACTTTAATTATAATTAAAATATCAAGATAAGTAAGAGGTATGAGTACAGTGTAGACAATCGTATTTAAATCATAGAAAAGCTTTCTGTCTACGACTTCATGGACACAAGACAAATCTTATCACAAATAGATAATAATCAATTTCATAATGTTACGAAACATTGCACAATTTTTGGATACCTATTTAGATACTTACATACCTACTAAATATAAATATTGAAGCTAAAGCTATTCTAATAAAAAAATAATCCTTTATGTTTAAATAAAAGGATGATTCTAAAAAAAACGAAAATAATTAACAGCATCGTAATTCTAAATCCAAAGTTATAATTCTGCTGATTAAAACACACAATTTGGTTCAAGTAATTGAGCCGTGTCACTGCTCTCAACCAATCCAATAACAATAAAGTAGATACTAATAAGTTACCGCAATGCTGGGAGGATAATGATTTGTTAAATAAAAATTACAGTTTTTCGGAGAAACACACAACTAGTCGTATCTCACTGATAACCTTTCTCTCAATTTCACCGCAAACAAATCAATGATAACTGTCACTATCTATTTAATTAAATAGTCCTAAATCCTTCCTAAAAATAGGTAGGTACTCATCACTGATTTTGATAACACTGTGAAATCAATTAGATGCATTTTAGAGTGATATTTTATCTGAAGCTTTGACACCTTATATTAATTTAATATGTAATTTTAGTGTACCTAGTAGTTACGAAGAACCTAATGGTTTACCGGGATCCGGCTCGAAGCGCAGGAGGAGGAACGGGGTGGATTTTAGTCAGTAAGAGTCTGACACTCCCTCCCGCCTCATCCAGGCGGGAGCAGTTATTCGATGATTTTCCCCACTTAAAAAAAGTGTAGCTAGAACCTACATTATCCGCTCACATCACAAGAATCAATTGATAAAGTTCTCTAAACACGTTCAAACAGCACGGCATTGATGTGTGATAAGTTACGAAACTTGATACATTAAATACTGATTTTAAATATGGATCAATAATGTTTTATTATTTATCCTTGATCTTAAAATAATAAAAAAGGACGGAAGTGAATAATTTGTAGTAAAACTAGTAGTTATCTAGTGCTTTTTTAAATCAATATCTTATGGTAGAGACTCCATTATTCTTTTTTTAATGCTGTTGTCGATTTCAATTATTATATTCGAATTATATTATTATTTCTTTTTTTATGAAAATAAAATGTCAAATACCAATAAAATGTATGACTAAAATAATAATATAAACTAAGATTAAATATTTTTCATTCTTTTTTGTTTTCTTTCCTTTTCTTTTTATGTTTTTTTTATGATTTAATAGCCGTATGGCAGAATTAGCAGAATGAGAGACAAACAAAAAAAAACAATGTAACGCGGCAATTCGATTTTGGTTTGTGTCGGACGCACGCGCGCTACTCTAGTGGAAACATCACCTCTCTATAATAACTATAGGGCACTGACTGCTCGACGCTTGCGAGGCGAGACGAGAACAACGAGTCCCGCGCCGCAGCCGTGACGCACGCGCTCCGTAAGTCCGTATTTGTGCCGCGAAATATTTGAGTTTTACCTATATTGTATTATTGTGCAACTTTGTTTATATTTAGTTTATTCCAATATACAATTTACAGTCATTCGTGTGTCGAACTTTATTTCACGCCCCTGAGAACCCACCAAGGACAATCATCAAGTATATTACAACAATCATTTACCTATTTTAATTTGGACTTCATCGAAAATCGGGGGGAAAATCATCGAATGACTGCTCCCGTCTGGGTGAGGCGGGAGTGTGTCAGACTCTTACTGACTAAAAACCACCCCGTTCCTTCTCCTGCACGTCGAGCCGGAGCCCCGGTTACCCGTTACGATGTCATGTCATGTCATGTCCTAGGTATTTATAATTATTAAAGAAACGAATATCGACATCTACTCTGTTTAAATCCGTCATCACATTAATGATTCATTCCACAGGTACCTAATCGAAAGGGTACCACTACGAGGGTAACAAATGTAGCACGAGGGTTGATAGTTAGGTTCGGTTAGGGCGCATTCCTGACGGCGCGGCGGCCGGCGGCGAGAGATTTCCATGCCGTGGTTTTAGACTGTTAGTATGAAATTAACATTAACGTGGTAGAAATTCTACATTTTACACACTACGGGTGTTTAATGTTTAAAAACATATTCCGTGAAAAATAGCGTGAAAATATTATATGTTACGTATTTTACGATAGTAGGTTATTGTACGTTTTTCTCTATTGTTTTTCTACAGACGACACATCGCCACGATGTTAATAAAATGGATTTTTACCGCGATAAATCAGGCTCGCAGGTTGACATTTAATTAATAGATTTTTTATGGCATACCTACATTTCTTATCGTTTGTTAAGTGATACGAGTACGACTTATTATTATGATATAGGTACTGCCAATATGAGCATATGCTATTATAATTATGGGTTACTAAAGGATCAATTGTCCGACTCTACCTACTTAACACTTTAATACTAATGTGTGAAGCGAATTCGGTACTATGTCATTGACCTCAATTATTGTATACAGAGTTCCCGAGTTCCGATATTCGATTAAATGTAGGTAAACACCTGTAAAAATGTTTTTTAAAAAACAATGACTTGTAACTTATGTTCCTTAATTTCTGAATGTCTTTATTGAGGTCGGAATCATCTGATAGTATTTAAAATTAGGTATAAAGAATAATCTTCCTGGAATATTTATTTATATAAATATTTCTTAAAAAAAGTTGATTATTCTTTTCATTAGGTACACGCCAAAAATATGTTTACCTATACAATTTGATACACAATTTATTTATTTAAGAGTTTATACATATAATATTTTTTATTAAACTATGATGAATTTATATTTAATTTTATTTTTTATTGGTAACTAGATATTATACATTTCCTAATAGAAGATGCTGCATTAGTGCAGCCATTCGTCTAGCACTAAGCGACGATTTGAGAACGCAAGTTGCAATTACGACTGCAAAGTTTCGGGTTCGATTTTAATTTTAACAGCTATGACAGACCAATGTATAAGTACTTGAAGGTTGCTACTAATACTTAAATTTACCTATTTCTCAAAAAAATAAATCATTTACCTAATCAACAAACCTGATGAACGTTGCTATAGGTAATTAAAATTAACTCTCAACACGAACAGCAAAGTTCACGGTCACTTTGATAACATTTTAACACAATTCTGTGACTTATGTGATGTTAGTCATCTATCTATAACAGGAGTTGTTATAAAATGCAAACTCATGCTTCTGAGCACAATGTTTTAATTTAAAAGTTAAATTGTCTAGCTTCGCAATACGTTCTAAGTTGAGCGTAGCGTAAGAGCAACAGATACACGTGAAATTGTTATTGGTATGAAATGAAACTATGAAACCAAGAAGGTCACGGTGACTATGTGAGCTTGGTGTTGAATATTGATGAACGGATTTGCATATTATTATTGTTGTTTTGTTTTTGATTCAAATACCGCAACTAAAAATAATATCGAATACTACTTAATCGATAATCGAACGTAGGAAAATAAGATCTACGACATTACTGTCCTTTTTTTTTTTACTAAAAGCTCCGGTCGAGTGGTATTTTTTTTCTTCTTTTCAACTCGTCGGTGCCTGAGTCGGCTAGACCGGATAACTACAGCATCAATGAAGATAGAGACCTAAATAATAGTTACAATCTTTATTAACACGTGGTAATACTTACGTTAGAAATATTTTCGAGATGATGTTCGATTTGTCGTGGGGATTCTTTTCTTTCAATACCACTTTTGAGTCCATGATTCACTCATATACGTATTCAAGTACACTGAGGAATTTAAAATATTTACTCGAGTTCAGTTCCAACAGATCGTGTCCTCAAAACAAACAAATCTGTGCCGTCGATTGATAAAACTTGCGAGTGTTACTATCACACACACCGGCTTAATAACAATATGAGGCAACAACAAATTTGAAATTTCCAATACACTAAGCATTCGTTTTCGAAACAGATTGCATAATATTACTATCCGTGAATTTTAGGACTGTTCGACCGATTCACTGACCACTGAGTTATTTCACCGTTCTAACTAATAGACTAAAGTTGAGGTGGCCCGCAAAGAAAACGCACCATATTAAACTATGAATTTAAATGTAACTAGGAAAATATAAATTACATTTATTAAGTATCACAGTTAAGTAGATTGGTGTGTTGAATAACCGTAAGCTCTATGCTCTAGGCGACAAGCATATTGCTCGAGCGTTGCCGGCGTACTGACGGCTCCACTATAGTGACGGAAAGCCCGCCTCTACTCTCAACACAGCTGCGCGCCGCGCTGTATGTAAGTTTGTATATCACGCCGTTTTGTGTGCTCTACTGTATGTACCTAGCTCTACGATCTATAAATAAACCCTATAAGCGCTCCAAACGATTAAAACAGTTGTAATTCTGTCGCAACAGAGAACACCCAAGAAGATGATTAGATGCTACCACTCAGTTCACTTATGATTGAAAGCCCAATAAACAGATCCATTCACTTAATGGAAATAAATAGCCCCAAATTGGTCACGAGTGAAATGTTACGAGGACGTGCACGGTGGCTAATTCGGCGATTACAGACAATTTTATTTGGAAGCGGCTTTGATTTAATGTACCCAATACCCACAGGGTTCCTATGACTCGATTCCTGTGTCGGACACACAACAAACTGCGAGTATCAGAACAGTCTATACTACTCTAATACTGGTTTCACAGGGAACATCGTTATTTAAATTCAAATTATTTTGTTGAGGTGTCTACAAAGTCTTTACCTTCACCCTTAACCCATTGACTGTTTCATATAAAAACGTTATCTCAGTCGTTGACAAATGACAAGTGAAAATGCCTAAGTCCACCTCTGTGTAATTTTAATTGCATAGATAAACAAACCACAAATAAATAACACAGCACATCCATGCCTACCTAAGTATTATTAAAGGTTTTTTTATATTATTACAGGTTTTAAATTCGAAGTCACAACAGAAAAAATTTAGGATATGTAATAAAGAAATTCAGTCTCAAATGAGTCTAAGAAATAGAAGCATACGTAAAATCACAAATAATTTCGGCGGTCCAGTGGCATCCATTGAATGAAAATGTGCGACAGTGCGACGGACCGCTGTACACACCATCTAATAATTATATAGATCGAAGCGGACTAAAGTGATGGTTCAGTTCGATCGTCTATTTGTGCTTTAATAAAAGAAAAACAGATTAAATAAACGAAGGCAGGTAATAAATAATGTTTGGTAACTTAGTACCTATCTATCACAAAATTATTCTTCGGTTTACTTATAAAGGTGGGTGTCATGACCCGGCTTGTTTATTTAAAATAATATTTTTGCCACATTTTCCTGTATTTACTCAATCTGGTAAATATCGTTGGCACAGCTGCAGCGTGACCGCTTTAATTATATTTTTTTCCAAACTCACAAACCAGGCCGCAATGTGTCATATTCATATTTTTACAGACTTCAAAAAAAGGAGGAGGTACTATGTTCGACTGATTGTTTTTTTTATTTTTTGTTTGTTCGCGCAGTACTCCGCCATTTGTGAACCGATTTCGAAAATTCTTGTTTTGTTTGAAAGGGTATACTCCCGAGATGGTCCCATGTCCATGACGTCAGGATCTGATGATGGGATCCTAGGGAAACCGAGGGGAACTTTCGAAAATTCTATGGGGGAGTAATGCGTCTATTATGTTTTTCAATTACGATTTTTAAACACTACAATTTGATAAGGTCTGGAGTCGACCTGATGATGGAGTCGACAGACCGTCGAGGGAACTCCTCAACGGTATACTGTAACTACCTTGTGTTTGGGCTTGATTAATTTGTATTAATGAGGACTTTACACCTAAATAGAGTGGGGCTGTCATTAAGGGTCTGGTGATGAAGAAGTGTAATTGTTCAGGGAACTCCTCAACGGTATACTGTAACTACCTTGTGTTTGGCTTTGTATAATTTGTATTGATTAGAACTTTGCACCTATGTAGATTATAAGTAATAAAATGGGTATATGTAGCTTTACACTGAAAATGATGAATGCGCCATAAGCTCATATCATAATGATATAACTTAATGCCCACAAAATTGTGAATTAGGTACCTATTAAGGTTTTAATGAATAATTTTGTATGGAACTTATGGCACCGACTTCTTATCTATCAGTGGGTAAGTAACCTATCAGTGGGTAAGTAACCCATCAGTACTAATAATAGTTATATTTTGCTTTTTAGTTTTGACTTTTTGTTTGTTATTAGTTTTTGGTTTTTTGAAGGGGTTTTTTAAACACAGTTTTTATTTTATCGTTTATCCTCTCTTGCGTCTCGTACACGGGTTTAATAGAAAGCGAATGAACTATACTGTTTAATTAAATAAAGAACGGGTTGCAACTTGAAAATATATATTACAGAAAAAGTTTCCAATCGGTGCAAGTCACTCTCGTACACCCGTGTCACCGTGTGTACAATTGCGGCGATGGGCACTCAAACTCAACGCGTGAGAGATTAAATTGGAAAAAACATTCTTAAATTAAATGTTTACTGCAGTAAGCACGTAGGCGTAGGTACATAACTATTACAACGTATTTAGTAAATACGTTGTTAATTATTTGTTATAGGTAAATACTATTTACCTATAACAAATAATTCATATTATTATTGCGAAAGTAGACTTGCGTTTGCGTAATTTATTTATCCTTTGTTACAGGTAGGTACCTACCTTCTTTTGTTATCTGCGCTTAACACTCATAGTGCTGAACTGCTGAGTTATTTTGATGCATCTTGGCTTGGTACAGATATTTATAGGTACTCACAACGTGAGCGAAACTATTAAAAAATGTAATTTCATTGCACAAAAAGACGTTTAATGTTTGTTTACCTTATTTAAATTATTATGTTTAGTAGATAAGGTAGCTTCGTACAACCTACGTCCATTGTTCCGGTAGAGCGCCGTCACGCTTGGCGTCTTCAATCAAGTTAATTATTAATTAGACAGCTAATGAGACTTGGTTAAATACTCTAAGAATGAGACTGAACTTACTATAGATAGGAACGGAGCAACTGAAATAATCCTAATAATGATATATTTTTTACACCACATAAAAACTTCGTTCTTAAAATCGAATTACCTGTGAAAATAATGTGAGTAGATTAATTGGTTGTTTGCAATGTGCGGTGCAATAAAGGATTTGTTCGTGAATTAAATTTAAAGTACAGATAAAATCAAAGTTTATTGACCATACGCGTTGATATCGCAGTAGAAATGAATGACAATTTAAATTCGTACTCGACTCGGAATTTGGAAAGTCCAGACGTCAAGGTCATTATTTTATGTTTGTGGACATATGTATACACATATGTAAATACTTATAACAGGTATGCAGAGCCATGCCATCAATGTTGAAGGTATTGTTTAACAGGTCACTGTGGAAGCGTCTGGCATACTGTGATGTCTGTGACTAACAAGGAGATCGAAGTTAAAAGGCGACGTAGAAAGGAGAGAGCGGAATGTTCATCGGAAGGGTGCTGACTTGCCGTGAACATCGACGAATATTTACTGCAAAATAAACCTTATAAGAGAATCGTAGCGCCATCTAGTGACTTCAAAGTAAAACGCAAATATTATAATCTCACAATATCCTTTAATAAAATTTTAAAATGGCAATAAAAATATTATAATATACAATAACAAAGTCTAAATAGATCTCTGTACTTTTCGTACATGTTGACTTTTAGACTCCTTCAAAGCTTGCTCTAACTTGTTGGTTAAATGCAGTAAATTGGGTAGGTCACATTGTAGCAGAATATGGTTGACTGCATTCTGGCAGTGACTGGCTGCCTTAGCATCTTGTATACTTGAATTTATTTGTTTGTTATTCAAACTCTTTTCATGTCCTTTCTCATACTCTATCCTTTCTTTATGGTCCCCAAACTGACCAAAATTTTTAGGCTTCATAGTCATAAAATCCATAGCTATCATTGGTTTTATTTCTTGTTCACAATTTTTTGAGGCTACCTGTAAAGTTTAAAATACTGTTAAAGGATTTTTATACTTAAAAATTTTTTTTTTCTATTTCTATTCACCTGAATTTCAAATCTCCATGAAAGATCCTGGTATGAGGGATCCTTCTGCTGCAGAAGGTTCAATGCATCAGACAGTTCTGCCTTCTTAGTGTTGTACAACTTTACTAAAACCTCCTGTTGCTCAACAGAGAAGCCCGCTATAGCCAAAGACGACTTCAAGTCCGCATCTGTCAGCTAAAATATAAGATAAAAACATACAATTTTCGACTATTTTTAATATATGAATAATTCATTGTATTTTTCTCACTAAATGTGTGCCAGTTATGGTACCAGAACCTCTATTAGACAGGTTTTCTTACAATAATGTTGTTTTAACTTACATTTAATCTACATGCTTCCACTATAAGGTACACTAACGCATGGACCAGATTTTGTACTGCAGTTAATGAAACATCCAGTTTTTCTGAAATAAAAACAGAAATATTGAATACCTGTAATTATTATTTTATTTCATTTATGTCAATTATGTCAAATATAAGTATTATTGCGAATTGAATAGACAAGATATATATAAATTACTTCCACATGACGAAAATACATTTTTCTAGTACATAAAACCTGATTATCGGTATCTGTGTACTGCTCAGATAGGAATTAGAATTTTTAAATAGGACCTAATTCAATAACATACAAATAAATGCTTCTAAACAATTAATACTTATTTTTTTTACCTGCAGCGATACTATATTTCTTCTGATTGGCTCCATTATTCAAAAAGTCCAATGCTAGCTTACAGAAATCTATTAGAACTGAAAATAAACGATTAAAAACTTTAGGATCTTATACTTTTTAATGAATAATCATAACCATTTAACACGGACCTTGGACAGAGTGCTGGTTCAGTAAGCTAAGATGTTCCTTTTGCAACTCGCTCAAAAATATAATCATTGTTTTATTTTATTTCAAGAAGAAACGACCTAATTTAGAAAATCTAAACAAACAAAATTCTTCTCCAATTTATGTACTTTGATAGTGACAATTGACAATGACATGACATTGACAATGACATGACACGACTCTGACATTTGATTTTTTTATTTTTAAATTTATTCAATTTCCAATAAAAACTTAAATAAAATTAAAATTAACTATTACTAAATGAATAATAAAATATATACAACTTAAGATTAAAATTATATAAATTACATAAATTTGTTTTTAAATTGTTAGACATTTCGACCATGATACATTTATTTTACCCACTGATAATGTTATAGATTTTACCTCATGGTAGCAATGAGGAAATTTTTTTCTTTGATACATTTTAATTTTTTTTAAGGTGTAAATATTTTAATTTTAAATTATTTACATTTTAAGTTGTATTTATTTATTTTATTTAAATTCTTATCAATAATGTAATAATTTAAGTTTAAGCAATAGTTTTAAGATTCAGTCAAATTAAAACTAAAAAAAATTAGCCACTGATTGCATAGAAATTTGTACTCTAGCGGAATATAACAGAAACAGAGCACAGCGCGCGGCCATCGAAATATATAAAGCTCCCTTTTAAGTCCCTTTATGCCAAATAGAGAAAAACCGCCGATAATCTGAGACATTAAGACATTTTATTCGTATCTAGGACAAAAATCGACTAATCACGATATAAGTATCAAAAGAACAACACATCAATATTTTCGGAATATGTTAGCTCTATGGTTGTCATTTTCTTGACGTAGACGTAGTTGCTTACGAGTTTTTCAATTTTGTAATTTTGTTGACATGTTTCTTTAATTTTACTTAATTTAATTGATATCAGAATCTTAATTAATGGTCAAAGAAACTTCATCATCAACATGGCTTTGAAAAAAGTCAAAGGGAACTTCGAGAGAATGTTCGATAAAAATCTGACAGACTTAGTACGAGGAATCAGAAATAACAAAGATAATGAGGTATTAATATGTGTAATATTGCTTAATTTTCATTAAAATATTCCATTTTATCACTAACACATTCAATCTCGCTCTGAGAGCAAAGCCTTTTTTATTCTTGGCTCTTGACACTTTCTTTTATATACCCCTCCGCTGTCATATATCTTGGACTGATTTCAAATGATGAATTAAATAATAAGTAAGCTATAAAAATAATTTACATGATACAAATTTTATTACAAATGTTTGAATGCCATTAAGCCTTATAATCTAATTTTATATTCATAATCAAATATGGAGTGTTGGTGGCAAGTTTGGTCTTATATTTAATTAAGGCATGAATCATAAAATTTGCATAGCAGCATTTTCTGTTGTTTACACAGATCCAATGTTTACATATAATTTACTGGGTAATTGTTGTCAGTAATGAAAGTAAACATGCTGCACTACACATTGAACATGATACCAATACAAAATAAATTTTTTGAATGAATAAAGAATTTTTATACAAGTGCAATAATTACTTTTTAGCAATATAAATATAATATTACTAGGAATTATGAAATTATTCAACAAATACCTACCTACAGTTATCAGAAACATTGAACTTCCCAAACTATTGATATTTGTTAAATAATATGTATCATTTAATTTTTAGTCGAAGTATATAGCACAATGTATGGAAGAAATAAAAGTAGAACTGCGGCAGGACAACATAGCAGTGAAAGCCAATGCTGTGGCCAAGCTGACATATGTAAGTACATAGTTAAACCTTCATGTATATGTATATTCTTAGTTATCTCAGCACTATGTGTAGGTATGTCAAATTAGATAAACTTTGTAAGCAGAAAATGGTGTCCTGATAACATACCCACATGGCAACTTATCTTTTTATTGAATTCAAATACAAGAGTGATAAATGTTTTCATCAGTTTTGCAATACTTAATCTGTAACTGATGGTTATATTCACTGTTATTATGCATATGTAATGTAATAAATAAATATAACATTTTTAATCTAGTATGTAATGAATATTCATAGTAAGTGCTATTAATATTCATAAGATAATAACTTGTATGCAAATATGATATCACTGTACCTGTATTTCAGCTCCAAATGCTGGGATATGACATATCCTGGGCAATATTCAACATAATAGAAGTGATGAGTTCCAATAAGTTTACTTACAAGCGTATTGGTTACTTAGCAGCTAGTCAGTCATTTCATGCAGACTCAGAATTACTAATGCTCACTACAAATATGATAAGGAAAGATCTCAATGCACAGAATCAGTATGAGGCCGGCCTGGCACTGAGTGGACTCAGCTGTTTTATATCCCATGACTTAGCTAGAGACCTGGCTAATGACATCATGACATTGGTGAGTACATAATAAAGCTAATATTTGACTTGGTGTTCAACTTAAGTGCACTGTTTACTGTGACAAGTTGACACTTCAATTGATCTGCATCCAAGGCTAATTATTGATCATACAAGCATGTTGGATGCATGCTTGCATTTATGCATGAAATTGAACTTTCATAAATTTTACAGTTTTGTCTGAATGAAGCAGATGCAATTCTATATGATATTAAAGTGTTTTGTTATCTCTGTTTATAAATAAAATGATTATTTGTAGATGAGTTCCACAAAGCCCTATCTTAGAATGAAAGCTGTGCTTATGATGTACAAGGTATTTTTAAGGTATCCAGAGGCACTAAGACCTGCATTCCCTAAATTGAAGGAAAAATTAGAAGATCCTGATCCAGGTACATTATTCTTAACATAGTTGACTGCAACATAGCAGTAGTGAAAATTTGTCAGTATTACACAGTGTTATTTGTTTACAGGTGTACAGTCAGCTGCAGTGAATGTAGTATGTGAATTAGCAAGGAAAAATCCTAAAAACTATCTGTCATTAGCTCCAGTGTTTTTCAAACTGATGACAACATCCACCAACAACTGGATGTTGATTAAGATTATCAAATTGGTATGTGTCCTTATTGTCATGTTGTATTGTGTATGTAACTGTGTATGTCTTCCTTCCAGAAAACTACATGATGCATTTACTCTTTCTAAATTTAACATTTAACTAAATTATAAGGTTTTGTTTTCATTTTACTGACATTATTGACGTAAAGAAAAGAATCTTCTCATTCAGAGGAGACACTGAGTGGTTTGTCAAACATTTACATATAAATAAACTTTGCTAATGTATGTCTGCACATGAAAGATCTGAAATAACCTATGACTTCTTCACAGTTTGGTTTAATGACACAGTATGAACCAGACATTGGAAGAAAAATAACCCAAAGCCTCATAGACCTAATTTGCAGGTACCACTAGTGAAACTTTACAAAAACAGAGTTTACCCAAACTGCTAGATTCATTCACCACACCTCACCATTGAAATTATACAACTTAGTTTATACCACATTCTGACTATACCACGGCTGGAATGTAAGAAATGGTACTTGTTGCTAAATGTTAATGAAGTGTTTTGTAGATTTGTAGTTGTACATTTCTTAGGTTCCACCTTAAATAATGAAAATATTATTATAAACTACACGAATGACACTTATGAATTGGCACATCAGGCTCACATTTTTGTATTATTTTCGCTGCTGTTATTATACCCAAATATACCAACAGTTTACGAAAGAGTACCATGAGTTGGGACAAGGAAGAAACAGGAGACCACATAGAAGATCTAGTCAGACATGATATCATGTAGCTATCAGTTGCTATCACATAAGCTAGTCTTATGTAGTTTCATTGTGTTTGTTGCAGTTTGGTGCCTTAACCCCATTAGAGCCTCGACTTGGCAAGAAACTGATAGAACCATTAACTAACTTAATACATAGGTGAGTCAGTTACTGTCCATTGAAGCAGGAACCAACCTGTCCAAATTGTTGTTAAGTACAGACAGAGTCCTCATCGTAGCAATACGTACATGTTGTCTCTATGGGGTGAAAGGAATATTATTATGTATTGTGTTGCATAATAAACAATAGTTATTAAGATCTACAATAGTTGCTATTAAATAACTTTCATTTTCAAAATTTTCAGGTAGATAAGTCTAGAAAGTTAGTAAAGGTGTTTGTTTGTAAGAAACTGCTTGCATTGCTTGTTTAACATTTTGTTTAATTTAGCTTATTTTACACTGTAGCACCTGAGGCTGAGTAACACATTAGAGCTTCGAAACACTAGTTCTAGGCTTGAGATTGTGATACAATTCACATCGACATTTGTTCATAAAGCAATGTATATTTTAACACGACGCCTTTAGATTTAAATTTAAAAGCAGGATTGCAAGAACAATGCATTAAATAAACTAAATAGTGTTTAACATAAAAAATAATATTTACAAAGAGTAATTCTATTTCCAGCTTAATATGTTAACATTTTAATATAATGAAAGCCTGTTTCTCGACTTCTTGCAATAGATAGATGCAGAGGTCTGTATGGTAGATATTTGATCTTGTATTTGTGTGTGCAGTACGTCAGCGATGTCATTGCTGTACGAGTGCATTAACACTGTGATCGCGGTACTGATCAGCATCAGCAGCGGTATGCCAGGCCACGCCGCCTCTGTACAACTCTGCGTGCAGAAACTCAGAATACTCATTGAAGACAGCGATCAAAATTGTGAGTTCTTTGCTTGTTAATTTTTTTCTTTAATGTTGATAATTACTAGCAATAGTCACTTAGAAAAAGTTATCAGTCATCAACACACGCAAACGCAGCAATTTTTATTTCAGTATTTGTAGGATAATAGTTTTCGTAACTAATTGAGATTGTTGGAAGTAAATACACAATAAAATACCAAGAAATAGGTCATGTCAATAACCCACCTAGACTAAATTGATTGATGCCAATTTAAGCCAACCTGTTCACTCCATACAACAATTACTATTACATAAGATCAAACTTTATCTTTTAGTCGTATGGTTGTTTTTCATAGCTCAATTTTTATGCGTTCTATATGACTTTTTTTTGTGAGCAGTGAAATATTTGGGCCTGTTGGCTATGTCAAGAATACTCAAGTCTCACCCCAAGTCGGTGCAGGCACACAAGGACCTGGTGTTGGCCTGTTTAGATGACAA